ACTATGGAGAGGTTCTGGCAACAGTGCATTTTCAATTACCTCCGGTGCGACCCAGAAGATCATTATTTTCTTCTAACCGAGAGCCCTCTGACTGCCCCTGAGACCCGGGAGTATACTGGGGAGATCATGTTCGAGACGTTCAATGTGCCGGGCCTCTATATTGCAGTCCAACCTGTCCTTGCGCTCGCTGCTGGGTACACTACCACCAAGGTTAGTCATCAGAGCTTAGCCTTGTGGTTTCTTTAGCATAGGCATGCCTTACACTAAAATGGATTGCAATTGCATTGAGCAGGCCATGTTTCAGAGTGTACTTGAAAATGCTTCATCACTGTTTTCCTTTCTTCCCTGTTGAGCGATCATCACACACTTATATTTATGAGAAACTTCATGCTTTGTTTTCAGTGTGAAATGACAGGTGTTGTAGTTGATGTGGGTGATGGGGCTACCCACATTGTTCCAGTTGCTGATGGATATGTCATTGGGAGCAGTATCAGATCTATTCCAATCACAGGCAAGGATGTTACCCAGTTTGTTCATCAACTTCTAAAGGTAGCTTCCTTTGCTTTCTTGTTGATTGTCACAAGATACTACTCAACTTTCAACTTATCTAGAGAAACTTACCAGATGTAAAGGAAATGAAAGATTCCAGAAAACAGTACTTTGTTCAACAGGGATAGAACATAATAGAATATACAAAATTGTGGCTAATTTGGAGAAGTGGCTATCATACTGTATATTCCTTGTGTAATAATATAAAACAATAAGCTTCACTCCTAAACATTTGTTAAAGAAAAAGCTTCACCTTAACAATTAAGGATAGCCACAGCATGCGATAAAACCATAGCTGCATTTAAAAAAAAAATCATAGATCTGTTGGACTATCACTTGAACTTGGCCCATGATGTGATTTTTGTGAATATCTTCTAGATTCTTTGATCCACCTATCGTTGTTTTCTAATAAAGATTGTAGCTATGCCTTTATGGGTAAATGCACACCTATGATAAGATTAAAACTATTTCCCATTGGCATGCAACTTGTTTAGTGAATTGATTTATAGTTTAACTTTGACATAGATACAAAGGATGCACAACATCTGTTTCTATAGTTTGATTTAATCTTCTTTTAGAAAATAACACCAAACAAGTGCATTATATGCATAAAGTCACCGAGTCCCGTATTCTTGCATCCAGGAAAGAGGGAGAACATTCCACCGTAAAGAATCTTTTGATGTAGCAAGGAGGATTAAAGAAATGTACTGCTATACTTCTTCAGACATTGTGAAGGTATTTAATTACATTAAGTGCCTTGTTATGTTACTTGGTGAACATGTATACTTTGATTCAGAAGAATATTTTTTTTAGAAAAAGAAGTTGAAAAGAATGTGGGTGGAGGAGTTCTTGTTCGCTCTTCATGGCAGTACATTTTGTTTAAAGTATTGTATAATGTATAGTGGTCCCCTAGTTGAACCATTGAAACACTTTACACCTATACTATACTGACTGATATCTGATTGTGTAAAGCACTGTTCGAGAAATAAACATGATTTTTGCCAAATAATGCCATCATTTTTTTTGTTTCCCCACTGGTGAATGCTTTCCTTAAATGTGATGTTTCACTCCTGCCAGCTTCTAGCCATGGGGTTTTTGATAGAAGTAATGGTCCTTCCAAGTGATGGAGACACGATGACTTCCCGATTAGGATAGGACTACATCAAGGATAAGCTTTGAGCCCTTATCTGTTTGCCTTAGTGATGGATGAGGTCACAAGGGACATACAAGGGGACATCCCTTGGTGTATGCTTTTCGCGGACGATGTAATGCTAGTTGATGAAAGCCGGACAGGAGTGAATCAGAAACTGGAGTTATGGCGGGAGACTTTGGAGTCCAAAGGTTTTAGACTCAGTAGAACTAAAACTGAGTATATGAGATGTGACTTCGGCACTACTACTTGGGAGGAGGTAGATATTAGTTTTGAAGGTCAAGTAGTGCCTAGGAAGGATACCTTTCGATATTTAGGATCAATGCTACAGAGAGACGGGGATATTGATGAAGATGATAGCCATAGAATCAAAGCAGGGTGGATGAAGTGGCGCCAAGCATCTGGTGTCCTATGTGACAAAAGGGTACCACAGAAGCTAAAAGACAAGCTTTATAGGACGGCGATTAGACCTGCTATGTTGTATGGTGCAGAATGTTAGCCTACGAAAAGACGACATGTTCAACAGATAAGTGCCGCGGAAATGCGTATGTTGCGTTGGATTTGCGGTCCTACAAGAAGGGATCGAGTTCGGAACGATGATATACGTGATAGATTAGGGGTAACACCAATTGAAGAAAAGCTTGTCCAACACCGGTTGAGATGGTTTGAACATGTCCAACGGAGACCTCCAGAGGCACCGGTGCGTAGTGGAATCCTAAGCCAGGATAGTAACGTGAAGAGAGGCAGAGGAAGACCGAAGTTGACCTGGGTAGAGGCAATAAAAGGAGACTTGAAAGGATGGAATATACATAAAGACTTAGCCTTAGATAGGAGTGCTTGGAAAACAGCTATTCACGTGCCTGAACCTTGATTGCTTTTGCTGGGTTTCAACTCTAGCCTACCCCAACTTGTTTGGGACTTAAATGCTTTGTTGTTGTTGTTGTAATGGTCCTTCCAAAAGGGCAATTAGTCATATTCTACCTTATTGTTGCTATTTTCAGGAATTCAATAAACATGACAAGGAGCCATCAAAGTACGTTAAACACTGGACGGGCATCAAACCAAAAACTGGTGCGAAATGCACATGTGATATTGGATATGAGCGATTCCTGGGGCCTGAGGTATTTGACTTTACTAAATGAGTGTACACATATGTAGTAACTTCTATGTCACCGTCTGTTTCGGACTTGCAGTAATTGGTTGTAGGTAGACCATGACATGCAGAACTACTCCCTCTTGTTAATCTGAGTTCACTTTACTTCACTTGTACCTGAGTTAAGTTGGCTTCGTAGAATAACTAATTTGACACTTTGAGTTCAAACTTTATGTGACTGCAATGCTAACTTTTCTTCGAAGTGCCCTGAGATATTTTTGCTATACATTTTAACATCACCATTATATTTTAATTCAACCTTCTCACATTAGTGTTAAATTTGTGCAGATCTTCTTCAACCCAGAGATATATAACAATGACTTCACCACTCCTTTGCAAGTTGTTATTGACAAGTGCATCCAATCATCCCCAATCGACACAAGGAGGGCTCTTTATAAGGTTTTTATTATCTGAGTACTATTGTTACTATTTATTCTAAGACATTACATCGAGTCTAAAGAATTTCCAATGGCACAGAATATTGTCTTGTCTGGAGGCTCGACTATGTTTAAAGATTTCCATAGGAGGTTACAGCGGGACCTAAAAAAGATAGTGGATGCACGGGTCCGTGCATCTAATAGTCGGCTTATTAGCGGAGATGCTAAGGTACAAACTTTGTTATTGGCTCTTAATGTCTTCCTGACAGCAAAAAAGCGGACAACCAACTGGAAACTGGGAACTTTGTTGTGGCTTTGCCAGTTTTTCAGTCACACATAAATTATATTGATTTTCAGGCCCAGCCTATAGAAGTGAACGTGGTCAGTCATCCTATTCAGAGATATGCAGTATGGTTTGGTGGATCTGTGCTTGCTTCAACTGCCGAATTCTACGAGGTATACCAGCTTAGATTATACATACATACATACATATAATAGCATTACAAATTTTATTGGAAAGAACCAGACAACACCTGGAATTTTTGAATGTGAACTTATCTGCTTGCACCAAGTTTATTGCACTACATCGTTCAGTATATGTGTTACAACTTATTATGGGAGTTCTTTCCTGTGCCTAGGCTTGCCACACAAAAGCAGAGTACGAAGAGTATGGTGCGAGCATCTGCCGATCGAACCCTGTGTTCAAAGGGATGTACTGAATCAGCCCATCATATATCCCATTCTCAAGGGTATGTATTAAACTGGGTGCGGTTCCCTGTGGCTGACGGTCGTGAATGGCATCCACTCAAGCGTAAATGGGAAGAACTGACAGTGGAGACGGACTGTCGAGAGGGATCCTGGAGAAGCATAGCCGTACGAGCTGTACAAACGAAAGGTGCAAATAGATAGGTTCATGTTTCGTCATATACAATTTAGATGCTGGTAGGCCTGACAGGATGGGTTTGCCACCTCTGCTGAATTGGGTGGCATTGTAATTTGTAGCGTCAACATTGTTGCTTCTGGCGATGCGGCATTGCTCCTTGTATACACCTCGGTGACTTGGCACTACATTTTGGTCCGCTACCAGCATCGCTTCTAGCGTCACGCCCTGGCCCTGCGCCCCTGCCACGGCAAGGAGAACGGCAGTTCAGGGTCGGCGAATACGCGTGATTGCCAAACAGGCTCGGCTGGCGCGGGTATAGCGTCCGGCATCCAGGAGAGAGTTGGCACGGGCATGCTGGAGGCCGTAAGCATTCCATTCCCTACTTCCCTGCGCTAATACTCTTCAGCTACAACCTCTTGGCTCTTCTGAAGTCTGAACAGTAGCCTGGCACTAACATCCAGAAATAATCACTGATTTTAGTGATGGTCACCAAGTTGGGTAACAGAGTGGTCACAGATTAGGTAAACTTTATCCAGATGATTCATATCACATTTGAAGAGTTCAGAGAAAAACAAATTCTCCCTAATATTTACATCCTACGAAGGGCAGGCCTTGTGCAAGCGGTAGAGTCTTACCGCCTGTGACCGAAAGGTCCCGGGTTCAAAGTCGCGGTATCCTCACATTGCACAGGCGAGGGTAAGACTTGCCACTGACGCCCTTCCATAGACCCCGCACAGAGCGAGAGCTCTCTGCACCAGGTACTGTCTTTTTTATTTACATCCTACCATGTCTAAGCTTATCACACTGGTGTGAAGGCACAAACAGAATGTTTGCGAAACCAGAGTGTCATCGCAAATGCTCAGGCGAATGCTGGTGGAATTAATGGGATCAGTTGAGACCAATCGGAACATGCATCGGGACGCTCACTTTTTCTACACCCTCAAGGAGCTTCACGCCGAGCTGGCCTCTGATCCCTCCTCCGAAGGCACACAAGTCACCGGAGTCCATTACCGCAAATGTGTGCGGGTGACCCATTTCCGAGTTCAGCCAGTACGAGGCGTTTGTGGGGCTGATCTGCACGACCTTCTTGTTCAGAGCCTTGAGCGAGCTGACTATGCTCGGTGTCGAGAAATCCGGACCCTCCTCTGCCTCATCGTCCTCCTGAAAGAGAGAGAAACAAAAGGTAAGTAGGGGATGAAATATTAACACTAATACACATGATTAGTATGTATCCTCCATATCATGGTTTTTCTCTTATCTTTAGTGTGGTTATACGTTGACATATAATGGCGATATTTCCAAATATAAATATGAGAATGACCGAACCTGGAAAAGCAAGGATTCACCGGATCCAAAGGAGTATACATCCCCATTCTCAGCAACGACAAATGTTGTGTATTCACCAGTGGAGAGATGAACGGCCTTCACGTTGCGTAATCCTTCAACCACTGTGGGAACAGCCTTGTATTCCTCATCACCATGCCCCAGACAACCAGTGTGGCCCCAACCCCAGGTGCACACACGGCCGTCAGCACCAAGGGCTGCGGCATGCCAAGTGCCAGCTGCTATTGAAATTGGTTTAAAGCTCAAGGACTGAAACTGTTCAATCAACTTGGGCATCCCCTTATTAGTTTTGCATCCATGCCCAAGCTTGCCCCCTAAACCACAACCCACAGAATACACAGACCTGCATATTGGCATGCACTATTAAATACCTCTAGAAACTAAAAGTTTCATGGTCAATATCAATAATAATAAAAATGACCCTTGAAGATATAAGAGCGTAATAACAAAATGCAGATGGGAGCAGAACCTTACATTCCATTTGGCTGGTAGGCCAACATAAGAAGGTAGCAATTTCCTGCAGAGATATATGCAACAGGAACATCCTCAAGTCCAGAGAGAAGACGAGGTTCAACATCTGAAGGATCCGAACTGTGGCCAAGCCTCTCAGCTTTGCCCCATGAGAAAGTGTAAACTCGACCCTCTCTAGACAGAACTGCAGAGAAGTAGCCCCCTATGGCTGCTTGAACTACAAAAACACCCTTCAATGACTCCACAACCTTAGGAGTTGTAATCTGAATAGGAGCATCATCAACTAATTCTGCACCCCTGAAATTATCCTTCCCAAATGCATAGACGCTTCCTGTGTCACTCACAAGCATTGTCCATCTTGATCCAACTGCAGCTTGTGTGATTCTGATGCCTTGTAGAGACCTAACATGGAGGCGACAGTTATAACATTGGTAAATACTAAATGGTCCTATTTCAGAAGAACTGAAAGATTACCTAATAATACATGGCCTGAACCGGTCTTCTGAATCCCCAAGGCCAAGCTGACCGGAGCAGTTTGCCCCAAATGAATATACATCTCCATTTGAGGTGATAACTATACTATGGCCTGGCCCGGCGATCACCCGAGAACCATTCTTCTCCCTAACCAAAATATACTTAAGAACATGTTTCCAAGAGCCTCCACACCGTTGTTTCAGACACTCCTGATCTTCTTGCTTCATCAGCTTAAACATGGTCCTTTTCTGGCACGTATCAAATGCCGCAAGCTCTGGAAGCGACAACGCAAAGTTTGGTGCAAAATTTGCAGGTTTACTGAAAAATGTGCATGTAGCCTGAGGACAGAAAGGCATAATTCATCAGTAGCAGCGTCTGTTATTAAAACACAAAAGCACTGAATGTAGTTGTATGACTTGCCTCCAGATTGGCGAGATCTTTTGGGTCTAGATCACAAGCTGAGAGCACATGGAGAACAATGGAGGGGCTCACAGCAAGGGGAAATTCGCCTGGGATTCCATCCCCATAGCAATGGCGCTGTGAACGTTCTATTAATGTTGCCAATGGAGATGAATGGGAGGTCGACTCATCAGCATTGCTATGGAATTGCATCACTGGTGAGGTTCCACTAGCAGCAGTGTCCATGGGGCACTGCATGATTCTCGCAGTGCTGTTGCACTCTACAGATGAATGGGAGCAGAGGACTCGGTCTGATAAGAGAAACAAATGACAGCCCGTCACACTTTCGACAAACAGATTGAGCAGGATGTGCAGATTTTACACAAACTGGAAGGATAACAGCAGCAGCAACAAAGAGTTAGATGATCACATTCATAGCTGCGTTTCATCTAAGTTGCTGTCTGCAGAAGACAGACCGATCATATAGTCTCCCTAGCAAATTAGCATCAAAATAAACTACGCCTTAGCGACACAAAGGATGGCAGGAAAAAGGGAGAAACAACACGCATCCACCATTTGACCATAGATCGCATCCTGAAATCAAGATCGACGCGGATCAGACCTTAACGGAGTGTTTAACACTCGATCATCCCACACCTCCAGACTCCAGTATAGTCTGGGAAAAGAAAAGAATTTGAAACATGATGATCCGTGATCAATATCGGTATATCGCAACAAAAGCTATGGTTCCACCGGGAAATTGGTACAATATCACAAAATCTCGTTTCCAAGACATCCAACACACCGATTCCCCACTCCAGCACCAAAAATCCCCATTTCCGCTCACCGCCATGGCCCCAAAACCGGCGAAATCCAGCCAAATCCCCCCACAAACCATGAACAAATCCTTCCTTTCCCGCCAGATCGACCAAGAACGGCGAGATAATCGATCCGATTTCATCAGATTCCCCCCAAAAGTTCTCACCCCCTCTAAATTCCCACACCAACAGGAAAAAGAGAGAAGCCGCCCACAAAATCCAAGAAGGGGGAGGGCTGGAACATCCAGGTATAGATATAGGTCCGATCGAGGCATCGTACTAGGATTTATAGGAGGGGTTGGTTCATCCGATCCTCGCCGGCTGCAGCGTTGCAACCTCGGCAACTGGGTGGGCACCGAGCGGCGGCGAAGGTGTCGGGCCTGGGAGGTTAGCTAGAACTAGAAAAGCCGCAGAGGATGCGTCACTCCCATATTTATAGATGTGTTGGTAGATGCCACGTCAGCATCAACCGGCAGTCAGGCCTGTTCGCTGGTCATGTGAGCCGTACTTCGTCAATAAACGAACATTATTTTTCTCTCGCGATACTTTTTAGTCTAACTTATCAGCTAAGCGAACACTCCTTAGAATGGCGGTGATCAGACAATGTTCGGAGCTTAAACTTCTCTTAACAGTTGAGAGTTGGGTTTACCTTGTCTGGTTCAATGGCAACGGGTTACTTTACATAAATTTCTCCAACAATCTTCCATTTCTGCATAAACAGTCAAAAATTGGTACCCACAAAGGTTTTCCAATATGAACAATCATCATGGGTAGCATAAGGTTGCTTAATTTTTGGTATGGCGAGATAAGAAGTTTTGGTATGGTCAACCACTCCCTTAAGGAGCCAAAGCCTCCTTATCCGAAACCCCAACCCCCCTCCCCCCAACCAACCCCCAACACCCCAAAAAAAAACACCACGTGCACAACACAAAGCCATAAAAAAGGAGTCATTCACCTACAAGGCTACAATATGTAGGATACATGCGAGCAATCAAACATTTTAAAACTTCAAGCGATAAATGGCACATCAAATGCCACACATAGATCTATACTTTAACCAATTAAGCATAGTTCAGTTGTGTTGACACTCACAATAGGCTCAAACTAATTTTAGAATTGACGCATGTCAGTTTTGGTACAATCTAAAAAAAACTCCATGAAATGACATAAAAATAGTACCACGTTGATTTTTAATATGATAAAATTACCCCTACTCCATATAAAATATGGGGTACACTATTGATTGAGGTATCCAACGTCCAATCAACAAAAACCTATTTAATACTCCTTTGCCTTACTTTCCTAACCGCATGTTATTGTTCATCTCTTGATCCTAAACCTAGGATGATGCCCTTCAAAGCCTTATTTTTAGTTTTGGTAATTGAGTGACAACAGAGACGGATCTAGGAAAATGTCCAGGGAGATTCTTCAACCTGCAGACAGCTTCAGCCTCTTCTTAAGGTGCATTCATGGCAAAAATTGCTAGGGGGAGGGGGGCTAAGGGGAGGCTCAATGGGTCTGATGGCTGTAGGGGGGCTAGAGCCCCGCTCGCCCCACCGCTGGATCATCCCTTAGTGACAACTAGTGGACTAACATTGTGGCTTTAAGTGTTGATTGAGGTAGGTAATATCCACACCAAGGGTTGAGCTAAAATGGCATCCATGGTGGAGATGGAGACGGCCACAAGGTGAAGTGCTCGACATTGGAGAAACGAAGTAAGAAGCAAGCCCCAAGGCAAAGATATAAATGATAGGGTTTTGCTTTCGTCGGCCAAGACGCAATACGGTGTGGTAACTCTTATTTATCACTTACTCCCACTTTAGTCTAGTTGGTATATTAATTAGTAAATACATCCTTGTTAGTTATCAATACTCTTAAACCATCATCTGGAATACTCCTGGGAGAAATGCTATAACGACATTTTGCGCGCTTATGAAATTATCTATTTGAGCATAAGAAATATCAACACAGCACGGGATGGGGCCCGCGTGCCTATGACCCGAAAGTGGCGCAATTAGGATTGAGACACATTTTAATTATGAAAATTACCGAGAGTATATCAAAAAAATATCACACGCAGATCTGGACAGAGAAGGACTCGGCTGGCTTTGTTGCTTTGAACGCTGGTTGTTGTGGAGTGCCGGCGCGCCATTGGCTCTGCGCTCTCGGGTTGCGTCGGGCCGTTTTGGCCAATTCTAGGAGGTGGCCAGAGCGCCAGCAATGTGGTGCCACGGTCAGGCATATGAACGGCGTGCCAGTTCGCTGACAATTACGGATAGAGAGTTGAGGGAGCAACGTTGGCATTGGTGAGTCAAACGGATGGGGAACCAATGGAAAGAAGCGAAAAAAGCAAGAGAAGAACAAAACTGAGGGTGAGATCGCCGCGCGAGATGGGGCCCATGCGCCCGAAAGTGGCACGATTAGAATTAAGACGCGTTTTAATTACAAAAATTTCCGAGAGTATATCTAACAAATATCGCGCACATATCTAGATAGAGGAGGACTTGGATGGCTTTGCCGCTTTGGACGCTGGCCATTGCGGAGTGCCCCGCTTGCCATTGGCTCCACGCTCTTGGGTTGTGCCGGGCCATTTTGGCCAGTTCTGGGAGGTGGCTGGCCTTGACGTGGTGCAATGATCGAGCATATGAACGGCGTGCCGCCACACCAATGCATGGGATAGAGAGCTAAGGGAGGCAGGGAGCAGCATTGGCATTAGCGAGTCAAACGGACAGGAGAAGAACAAAACTGAGGTCGAGATCACCGCACGAAATGGGCCCCACGCGCCTGTGGGCCGAAAGTGGTGCGATTAGGATTAAGACGTGTTTTAATTACCGAAAATTACCGAGAGTATATCTAACAAATATCGTGTGTGGGTCAGGACAGAGGAGGACTTGACTGGCTTTGCGACTTTGGACGCGGGTCATTGCGGAGTGCCGCAGCGCACCATTAGCTCCGCGCTCTCGGGTTGTGCTTGGCCATTTCAGCCAGTTCTGGGAGGTGGCCAGCGCCAACAACGCGGTGCTGTGGTTAGGCATATGAACGGCGTGCCATTTCGTTGATAGTAACGCATGGGACAGAGAGCTGAGGGAGCAGTGTTGGCATTGGCGAGTCAAACGGACGGGGAACCAACGGAGAGAAGCGGAAAAGCAGGAGGCGAACAAAACTGAGGGCGAGATTGCTGCGTGGGATGGGCTCGCATGCCTAAGACCAGAAAGTGGCCCGATTAGGATTAAGACGCGCTTTCATTACAAAAATTACCTAAAGTATATCGAACAAATATCGCGCGCAGGTATGGACAGAGGAGGACTTAGCTAGCTTTGCCGCTTTGGACGCGGGCCGTTGCGGAGTGCTGGCACGCGTCATTGGCTCCGCGCTCTCAGGTTGCGCGGCGTCGAATTGGCCAGTTTTGGGAGGTGGCTAGCGCCAACAGCGTGGCGCCGCGGTCAGGCATATGAGTGGCATGCCAATTCGCCGACAGTTACGCATGGGACACAAGTTGAGGGAGCAGCGTTGGCATTGTTCCCCTGGATCAGTTCAAAGAACTAACTTCACATATCAGGTTGATGGGGTAGTAGGTGCTCCTAATTTCCCCATCTTGCCAACTGCGACACTGTATGCCCGTATGTTATGGTACATTTTATATATGAATTATGGACCTAAACTTGATGTCTTTCAAGCCCTAAAAAGTGTCTTGTCCTGCCAAGTCAATCAATCCATGCTACATAGTGTCGGTGTTTCGGGTCACTGGCTAGTAAATTTTGTGATTTGCGCGTCTGACCCGGATGGCTGTGCTTGGAGGACACTAGGATTTATACTGGTTCAGACTGAATGTCCCTACGTCCAGTTCGCTACTGCTCGTGTTACCGGCACTGGTTTGTAGTAGGGGTTACAAACAGGCGAGAGAGGGAGCGGATCCCAAGTCTCTGGTTGGAAAATCGAATGGGGTTCATGCTGAGATGTTTAGGTGTTATCTCCTATCGTCTCCTAGAAGCCTCCTCTTCTGAGGGCGTCCTGCTTCCCCTTTTATAGACGAAGGGGAAGATACATGTTACACGAGAGATAAGCGAGAGGGAAGAAGGCTTTCGGCATCATGGCGCAGTTCGTTTCCTTCATGCGGATCCCACCGACCCTATAGATCACGACGGGGATGGCTCCATGTCGTTACTCTGTTCATCACTGGCGCTGTACGCTGATGTTGTCAGCTGGTCATGGCGCTCCATCCCATGTGGTGGGCGGCATGGTTAATGGACACCCGCGCCGGAGGCCGTACGGGGATTAGGTAGCACAGTGCCAGCACGCCTGACGCTATTGGTGACGTGTGTCCTCAGGTATGGCCCATCATGGCCGCGGGTCACGTTAGGACGCGCCTACTCCCTTTCCGGTGTCAGAAGTTTGACCCAGGGTCCGTGCTCTAAGACCCATAGTGGTTGGGGGCGGTAC